ACGATTATTTGTATAAGACACAAAATGCACAGGGAACAAAAGAGAACATAGATAACTTGGGCTGGGCGCAGTGGCTCACGCGTGTAATCCCAGCACTTTGGGAGGCCGAGACAGGTGGATCATGAGATCAAGAGATCGAGACCATTCTGGCCAACATGGTGAAACCCCATCTTTACTAAAAATACAAAAATTAGCTGGGCGTGGTGGCAGATGCCTGTAGTCCCAGCTACTCAGGAGGCTGAGGCAGGAGAATCACTCGAACCTGGGAAGCAGATGTTGCAGTGAGCCGAGATTGCGCCAGTACACTCCAGCTCGGCAACAGAGCAAGACTGTCTAAAAAGGAAAAAAAAAAAAAAAGACTATTGCATTAGGGAAAAGAGATTGAACTCAACTCCACCGAAACAAAAATGAGAGGATTTTCAAATGCTGGAGTGAGCTAATGGAAAAGTCCAGGAAGCCGTTAGGGAGGAGGTTGTCCAGTGTGATTTGGCCATCTGTGTTCACTAATTGTCACTTACAGAAGGCTCCTACGCTCCCAAAGAAGCTGAAAGATAGGAATGTTGTTTTTATTAATAATTACATTTCAAAGGGATGGCACCCAAGTTCTTGAGGAAGACATTCCTGGGTTATAAAAGTGGGATGTGCTGGGGCGTGATGGCTCACACCTGTAATCCCAGCACTTTGGGAGGCCAAAGTGGGATGATCATTTGAGCTAAGGAATTCGACCAGCCTGGGCAACATAGCAAGATCCCACGTCTGACAGAAAAAAAAAATAGCCAGGCATGGTGGCCTATATGCCTGTAATCCCAGCTGCTTGGGAGTCTGAGGCAAGAGGATCACTTGAGCCCAGGAGTTCGAGGCTGCAATGAACTATGATCACGCCACTGTACTCCAGTCTAGGTGACAGAGTGAGAGACAATCTCATTTAAAAAAAAAAAAAAAAAAAAAAAAAGCTATGAGACTTAAAAATGATTTCTCTCCCTTTCAAGGGAGCAGATAAATAATTTGTAATCACAAGTTTTCTAAAGTAAATGCTCTTTTAAAAAAAGGTCAGGGCTCTGTAGTCAGGAAGAAACCTAGCTTGTTTTGTAAACCTGAGGAGAACATTAAAGACATCTTAGTCCATTGAAAGTCAGAATGTTCAAAACTGTTGTTCCAACTCTTGGATATTTAAACATAGCACCGTTAACTCTCATAGTAAAACAGAGGTGGTGGTGGTGGTGTCATTGTCATCGCTGTTGTTGTTGTTTTGAGACGAAGTGTCTCTCTGTCGTCCAGGCTGGGGTGCAGTGGCGCAATCTCACTGCATTGGATGATGATTTGCAGCATCATCCAAAGACACATATTATCCAATTTCTTGTTGGGACATCCCTGTATAATCTCGCCTTACACCAAGGTACTCACTGCAACCCCCGCCTCCCAGGTTCCGGCGATTCTCCTGCCTCAGCCTCCCGAGTAGCTGG